AATGAGAATAGCAATAAGTATTAATATGATAAAGATACCAACAAAAATTTTAAAGATATCCAGTGAACGAGATTGTTTTGGTGTTGATGCAGAAGGAGGAGGAGGAGGATTAGGTATAGTTAAATGAACCAAAGAAGGATCAATGAAATATGGAGGAGGTGTTGCCATGTCTGAGTAAAATAAAATGAAAAATGAATGATTGCTTTTTCTTATAATTCTGCATTTCACATCAATTTTTATGTCAATATTTTGTTAAATTTAGTTGTATTGACTTAAAATATTTTCGTAGATCCAAATTTGGACAAAAATAGAAATATGCGTTTCATGTGTCATATATATCATGTGTATATCTCACATAATCTTGTCACAGATCTGTTGATATAGAGCTGATTACCGGGTATCTAATATGTTTGCAAATATATATAGGATACTATGTTAATAAATAAAGTTTGAAAGAGCTTATGGTAGAATTTTGAATGCTGACGTTTCATTGATATCGAATAACAATATGAATCAAAAGATTTTTTTTTCTATATCAATTTCTGCTTATTATATTTAAATTTGTTTTTTTTTAAAAATATAAATTTTATCTTTACTCTAAATGAAAACTAGTCAACAAAAGATCATTTAAATGCATATCGAATAATTGATATATTTATTGAAAACTAAATGATTTGATGCATCATTATTTTCTTTCTTCAAAGGTGAAAACTTGTGACCTTCTATCTTATTTCTTTCGACATAGATGTTATCGAAAAAGCGTATAAATTAATCAATAATGTATAAAATAATCACATGAGACTAATATGAAGTTTTCAAGTCTTTTGGAAAATATAAATGCACAAAAAAAATAGACCAATCCTAATTTTGTATTTTTTTCAATAATAAAATTCGTTAGATAGTCTGTCATTCGAATATTCACATAATTACAATCGTATAGTCCTATTGAATCAGTCTCATAATATTTGTCCAGACTTTATTTGTAAAGCAAAATGATTATATTATATGTACATAACCAACATCAATCATAGCATATGTTATTATATTGATCTCCTTTTTTTCGTATGATCAATTTCAATGTAGGATACACGAAAAAAATATATTCAACCAATACACTCTAAATATATTCAAGGTAAACGATTTTTTTTTGAATTATCTATTAAGAGGCATTGTAATGATAAATTCAATATAAGTGGTTAGGCATTTGAAACGCTTATATACTTTTATAAGCATAACGGTTAAGCTCTAATTTTCTGTTTACACACCTTTCCTTTGTATAATGCTAATTATCATATGAAGTTATATTAACAAAAAAAAAAGAGTGCTTAATTTTAATGTGAATAAAGTTTTCTATTAAGATAATAATTTTCACTTCAGGGCTCTTCTTTTTTTGATCGTTATTATCTCATCTACAGAATTAAATTAAATTTCAGAATAGAAAATCAATTCTCTCTGACTCATCAATATCAATTATGATCTAACTAAACTATCTATCCTTTTCTTCAATCAATATTACTAATCGATTGAAGGTCATATCACAATCAACACTTGACATTGCACGTAGATAATAATAGTAATCATCATACAAACATTGTTTTACAAGGCAAGAATGTTGTATAGTCAGTCTAATGAATAAATAGTGTGTAGTAAGAATTTATATTAATTGTCTTTCAAACGAAACAATACAGATATGTCTTGTTGTTTTTTTTAGCTTTTATCTTGATTCTTCTCTATTTTAGATGTTTGAAACCTTTGAACTCAATACGTGTTGTACATCTTTCATATAGGCTTTTCTTTCTTTTTTTATTCTATTGATTAACTTGTTCTAATGAAATTGAAATGCTTGTTATGCAATCATGATGTACATGTTTTACTAGTAATCTTAACGAACATTATTTTGTCGTTGTCAATTGATCTATTTGGAGACAGATTAAGTTGAAAAAATTTCATTCTCTTCTATCTATATTTATTTAATAAATTCGTCTGTCCTATTCATTGTATTGCTTATTCATTCATTATTGTCTCTTATTCGTAAAGAGAAACAAGAATATATATATTGCATCATTATTCATCAACGACAGGATCAAAAGAAGGTCAGTTGTTATTAAGGGCGGAGCTGAGATTATTATAAATGGTTACTGATGACATGTGTGAATAAAACTAAATTTCAGCTTATATATATATATATTGCATATTGATAGGGTCAATTGAATCAATGCTCTTTTATAATTCGTCACTTTCTATTTCTTTTTTTTTTAAGGTAATGTTTAAACTGTTCCACATAATATAAGTACATACAAGTTGCCCTTTATGCACAGAGGACACCAAATAATGGCAGAACAGAATCGAGGTTGATAAAAAAAGAGAAAATGTTAGAGCCTTTTTCTCGCTCCTTGCTCTACTAATAACATTGACTTTACGGTGTGTATATGTATATTTAATTGTTATAATTAAATAGGATAATAGTAAAAGTTTTATTTTTATTTTTCTAATATGAGATAAAATCGAAATTATATTAAACTAAATATCGTAATAGAGAGTATTCTTAATAAAATAAAATTTAAGATTTTATGTAAATCGAAAAATATATGTAGGATATTATAAAACTTTCATTGTACTATATAACTTCTATATTATTCTTTTTTTGATTTACATAAAATCTTCAATTTTATTGTTATAATATTACCTAATCAGGAGATTTTTTCATTCTATTAAACGAAAGACATATGTCAATCAGAATAAGAAAGTGAATATATATATATATTTTATTAATATACAAAAAAAATGTTCATGTATTATTTATTCTAGAATATGCAATTAGCTGTAGCACTCTATAATAATGATGTTGATGATGATGATGAACTTGAATTTCGTAAAGGTGATATATTAACTGTACTTATTGAAAATCCGAAAGGATTTGATGGTTGGTGGTTATGTAAACATAAAAATAAATGTGGTTTATGTCCTGAAAATCGTTTAAAACTTATTCAAAATACAACATCTTCGTCAATACCATCGAATGATTTTGTAAACTGTTGTTCTCGTCTATCTACAATATCAGTAAATATAGAATATTTTTTCAAAAAAAATCGAAATAAAATATTTTTTCAAAATCTATTAGATGTATGATAGTTTATCGAATAGTTATGATAAAGCACCATCAGAATCATCATTAAATCGTAATTATGATAATCGAGAAAAATCAGGTAAGTTTAATTTAATAGAAAATTCGAGAAAAGATATTATTTCTAGACTTTATTTGTAATATAAAATCATTTGATTCATCACCTGATTCTTCATCAAGATCATCCGGTATTTATTCAGCAAATGATCCTCATTTATCTTCATCATCATCGGTTGAATTTTTTGCATCGATTAATAACGATCAATCGTTATCTTTACGTAATAATTTAAAATAAATATTAAAATTCATTTAATAAATTGTTTTTTGATTACTTTTAGTTGATCTTAATCAATTAGAAAATTCTTTTCGAAAACTATCAATTCATTCATTAATTATTGATAAATATCGGCAACTTATATCTAAAACAAATAATAATACAATTCTTAATTCATTTATAACTGAATGTTATTTATTTCTACAAAATTATGGTTGTTTATTAGATCGATATACATATAAATTAATAAAAGAAACATTTCTTTATGACTTAGAACATAAGAAAAAACGAATAATACAATCATCAACAAAAATAATACAATTAATAAAATTAATTATTGATTTACGATTGAAAGAAAATTCACCAAAGAATAATTCGACAATATCAAATGATGTTTTTAAAAAACTTCATCTTAAACCAATTGATGAAAAACTGAGTACATTATCAAAAACACAAATCAACGGAAATTTATCAAATAAAAATCAACGGTCACATATTGAAAATTCTAAAATACCTTTATCAAATTTTTTAACAGAATCATCGTCAAATAATAAACTGAATCATCCAGTAGATCCATTAATTAAATGTTATTATCGACATATAAATCAACAAATTGATTTAATTATACGACGTTATTCATATTTATTAGATAGTGAATATACAACTTCATCGTTTATAACTGAAGGTAAAGCATTAGTCGTTGCAGGACATAAACTTGTGTTTGTTCTTGAAACACTTCATGAACATTTACATCAAATACAAACACCATTAATTCATCTAACAACACAATTATGTGAAACTTTAACAAATTCAATTCAATTACTTAAACAATTCAGTCAACAAAATTGTACAAATATTCAAAAACTAATGATTCAATTTAAACAAGACATAAAAATGATTATGAATATAGTCAAAAGAATAAAACAAAATTGTAGTTTAGCATAATACTTTTTTTTTTATTTTTATGTCTAGTCAAATATTAAAAAAAATGAATAAAACTTTTCAAATAATATTCCTCTTAGCGATTTTATCATTAATTACTGATTGTTATATAAAAAAACTAATTTTTATTTTCTATCAGTTTCAAAATGGAAATACAAGAATTTTTCGTAGGTGTGTATGACTGACATAGTTATGATTTAAGTGACTTCTTTTGTTCTTCTCACCTGGCGGTGTTTTCTTACGTTTAAAAACTGTTTTGTGCTTGTTTGGTAAACAAAAAAAAAAAAAAGAGAAAGAAAGAGAGAGATGCTGTTTGGTTACTAACCATTATTGATTCTTTTCATTTGCACATATGGAGTCGTCAAATTCAAAACTTAAAAATCTTATGGTACAGCTACATAATCGAACTGATGTAGCGAAATTAGCATTTGATGAAGCTGTTGCTGAACTTGATCGACAAAAAGCAGAAAATGATAGACGCTATCAAATAAAATATGAAAAATTAAGGGAAGAACGACGACAATGGGATGAAGAACAAGCAGCAATGGAAAGATTAGTAGCGACAGCAAGTAGTATTGTTCATTTAAATGTTGGTGGTGAAAGAATAAGTACCACAAGAAGTACATTGACTGCTGCTGAAGGATCCTTACTAGCTGCGATGTTTTCAGGCAGAATGGATCATAAATTGTCAAAGGATACAAGTGGATGCATATTTCTCGATTATGATCCAGTTGTGAGTACAAATTTTGTTTTTTTTCTTATAATCTTTGAAGAATATATATTGTCTTCATTTGTTTTCTAGTTATTTAAATGCCTTTTAAATCAACTTCGTACTTGGACCGATCCAAGTGTAAGACGTGCTATTCGTCCACTAGCGGGTTCTGAACAAGCATTTTTCGATTTACTTTATTTATTAAAAATTGATGAACGATTTATTGATCGTGATAGAAGTGCTATTACAGGAAGTACCGCTATTGGTTCTCCTACTATGTGGCAACCAGAAACATCATCTAAAGGACGACAATCGGATCAAGCGCTACGCTTTTGGACAACGAATACTTCTGATGTACAATTGAGTGATGATGATCACAGATGTGAAAAGATTAGTCATGATGTTTATCAATGTGTATTTGGTACACAGACTTATTCGAATGGTATTCATAGAATTCGTTTAAAATTAGAAGAAGGCACTACTAATGTTTTCATGGGTATTTGTTCGTATAGTAAAACAGTAGCAGGTCAAGTATATTATAATACACCTTCTGTACATGGATGGTTCGTACATGGTTATATTGTAATAAATGGTCGAGATCCTCAACCAGGATGGTCTCAAGTCAATGAAAATGATATTGTAGAAATAACAATCAATTGTGAACGACAAACATTACGTATTTATAATGAAAGAAGTGGAGCAAAAAGTTCTATGGAAGTTAACAGTTATGAAGCACCTTTACCATGGTGTCTTCTTGTTCTTTTTAATTTAAAACATAGTCGAGTGTCTATCGTATAAATTGTAACAAATAATATTATTCTCTAATTTTTAATTCTTTAAATAAAAATATTTTTATTCTATATGATATTTTAATTAAATCAAGATAGTTGTCAGCAATAATATCGATTGAAATGAAATCAATAATGAGTAATGTAATAGAATTTGAAGTGTTTTTTCAGTGAATTCAAGCATTAAAATATCAATATTAAAGTTGAGAGAAGAATTATACTGATGTTAAAATATGTCATAGTAATGTGTCTTTCGAAGCTTCATTAGTATGAATCATATTGGAAATGATATATATTGATAGGCATAAATTTTTTATTTATGAAAAAGAACGTATTAAAAATAAAAATGCAAGCATCATCATAGAAAATATACTGGACATGCTACCAATATTAGCGCTATTTTCTCCAGCAATAACCACGCCATCTTTACCAACAATTTGTTTAATCCAACTGATATATACACTGGCTCGAGTATAAATACCTGCATAATTACTCAAACCACACCCCTGACCGTAAGATGTTATACCGGCTATCATCCATTGTTGATATACTGATGAATAATACATTAATGGACCACCTGAATCTCCTTGACAGGTATCTATGAATAAAATACTATTATTATAAGTTTTTAGATAATAACAATGAATATTAACCTTTTCCGCCACCATCAACGGCAGCACAAAATTGTAAATCGACATTATTAATTGAATTACTACATTTTTGTACTTGATCGCTAACAGATTGAACAGTTACTTGTCTAAGGACGTCTGATGTAGGACCGTCTGATTCCATTGAGCCCCATCCAATTGCTACAAGGTTTGTATTTGGTGATGGAAAACTTGTTGCATCAAAACCGCTTATAGCTGGAAGACAAAGTTTAGCAATATTCCTGCCCCCAAAAGATATTGCCTTTTTTAATTTGAGAATAGCAATATCATTTTCTTTCGTAACTGTATTCCATCTTGGATGCATATAGATTTTTGATGCTAGAACTCTTTGTCCTTCAGTATCATAGAGAGTATCTGTACCAACTGCAGCTGTTACGTCTATACGTGATAAACTAATACGTTCTAGACAATGTGCTGCAGTTAGTATATAATGTGGAGAAATAATTGTGCCTCCACAAAAATGTCCAATGCTTGATACACGTAATGAAACTGCCCAGGCCCAACTATGACTAGCAGCAATTTCACCACCAACAATTCGAGAATTAATATTAACTTCGTTTTGTGAACAACCACATGGAGCTGTTGTATTACATGAATATATCGTTCCTTGTACTGAATATTGTGTTAGAAGTATACATGTAGTGAACAATACGAGCTCAGACAGATAAAGCATGTTGATGTGTGATTTAACAAAGGTTTTCATTGAATTTATATAGATCTCAAGATAAGGAATGTCGCCTAAGAAACGTCTGCATTATAAAAAAAAATATATACCGTCATAGTTATTGTTTTCGTTAGTCATTCAAGAATATGACGTCTATTCTTATCGTATCCTACACAAAATAATACTCATATATGATAAAGATATCAAAGAATTTTTATCATGGCAACAGTAAAAGGTTGCTTGATGTGAATTTGTATGTTGAAAATTACATTATTTCTTTTACTAGACATGATATCGAAACGAAAATAATTTAAATCTGTATATTATTAGAAAAGATTAAATATAATTTTATTGATGATTTTTGATAATTAAGCTTAAATATTTTAAATTGAATATCACATCAAATTTAAAAACAATTGAAGAACTATATTTGTATATTTATGTATAGTCAATTCATTTCATATTTTCTGTAAATGGTCAGAAAGATAAAGAAATAGTATTGGAAGTCAATAAAGCATAAAATTACAAATATAGTATCCAAATTTCTTGGCTCTCATCAAAAATCCTTGTAATTGGATAGATTTGATCATTATATTCCTATCATTCTTCTGAGTTTTTTTCGGAGAAAAACGACTTGCGCTTATCAATCTAGATAATACTAGTAACGTTTGTTATCATACCTTGAGACTTTAAATCAATACAGTTTTTAATTATTTATGTAATTCGTTGCAAATAAATCATTTTGCGACATATCGGAGATTCTAACACACACCCAAATAGCAACAAATAAGATTATAGTCATGTAAAATAATTATATCTTATGATAGTCGACGAATTCCAATTAGTTTTACTTTTTTTTATAGCAATCACAACATTATTCGTACCTGTTCTTTAGTCATCATTTAAAAAATGTTAACAAATCGATTTTTTTATATAAAGAAAATCATCTATTTTGAATTCGATTGAAAGACTTCACAAGATTTATGATAAAAGAATGAAACTATTCAATTGATAAAATTATAATAATGATAGCATTGCTTTTGAGATATGATAATTTTATATGGCTAGATGGAACTCAATTATATTTGATTACAATTGTATGTACAATAATATGTTAAAATCAGAAATAAAAATACCCCAATAAATAATCTATTGGATATAATATTCACATATGCATTATTTTTTCCGACTATAATGATACCATCTGGACCAGTAATTGATTTAATCCAATCAATATACATACTAACTCGAGTATAAATACCTGCATAAATACTAACTCCACATCCATGACCATACGATGTAATGCCTACTATCATCCATTGTTGATATAATTCTGAATAATACATTAATGGTCCACCTGAATCACCTTCACAAGTATCTATAAAAAAATATTTCTATTAATTGTTTATCGACAATAATAATAGCAACCTTTGTTTCCGTCAGTAACAGCTGCACAAAATTGTATACTGATATTATTAATTGAATTAGCACATTTTGTTTCTTGATGTGCAATACTTTGAACTGTTACTTGTTTCAAATTATCAGATAGTAGTTCACCATTTGATGTTGTATATCCCCAACCAATAGCTACAAGTGATGTTTTAACTAGAGGATATTCGATTGCTATTGATAAGTCATTTATAGATGGAAAACATATTTTAGCAATATTACGATCACTAAACATAATAGGATTTTTCAATTTAAGTATAGCAATATCATTCTCTTTAGTTCTAGACGCCCAATGTGGATGTATAAAAATGTTTGATACAAAAATTCTCTGTCCATTATTATCGGATAATGTATCTGTACCAACAGCAACTTTAAATTCATAATTCATGATTTCAGGATCATCAACACAATGTGCTGCTGTTAGTATATATTCTGAAGAAAGTATTGTTCCACCACAAAAATGACTTTCATTCAAAACACGTAATGAAACAGCCCAACCCCAACTATGATTGACAGCTGGTTCACCACCAATTATTCGTGCATTAATATCAACATTATATCGTGAACAACCACATGATGCAAAAGTATTACAGCTAAATATTGTAGCTTCTATTGAATATTGATTAAACAAAATATATGAAACAAAAAATAGAAGTTTAACTTGATGAATCATATTATTTTATTGTTATTCTCTTATCCTATATTGTAACAACGACCATGTTACAAAAATATAATATTCTTTTATTTGTTATCACAATTCTTATATATTTATTTGATGTATATAGCATATCTTCACAAAAACATAAATAGAGTTTATATTCATTAAAACTCAATCATCATCATCTTATTCTAATGACAAAATTGAATGATTCATATGATTATTTTAGATTCTGTACCGCTATTATTATGATAATTTTTCTTTGCGTAAAAGAACGAACTATGAAAGTTTCTTTGCTTATGATTAGTAATGCCCTCTATCAGCTAGATCTATATGAAAGCGCTAATATTTGAATGTAATTCTTATTAATGAAAATAATTGAATTCATGTGAGATTTATGATTTATTATAATTTCAAATTTTAGTTGAAATTTGAGACATAGTGGCAGCTGTATAGTATTTGGTTGGTTGGTATATGTATCAATTATTATTCGTACTGATTGATATTCGATTGATATCATTCATCATTTATCTGCCTTTATTCTTAAAGAATGGCTTCTACAACATTATTTCGTCTCGATCAACGAGTATCTATTGCCGGAAAAGGCATAGGAACCATTGCCTTTGTTGGCAAAACAGAATTCGCTGATGGTAATTAAACTTTTATTCTATAAATCTCTATTTATATCATTTACAGGTGAATGGATTGGCATTATTCTTGATGAACCAAAAGGTAAAAACAATGGCACTGTACAAAAGAAAGGTAATAAACGTATTTATTTTTATTTTTCATATGTATATTCTTCTAGATGGAACAAATGTACGATATTTTACATGTAATGATAATCATGGCCTTTATGTCCGAGCTGGACAAATTGAATCTGTACTTAATGATTTACAACCTGATCTAGCTCGATCAGCATCAAATCATTCAATAAAGTCTCAAGGCAGTAGTACGGGAAGTATTCCAGTACCATCAAATTCTGCAGTTCCAAAATCCACGGGTTTGCCATCTAAACAAAGTGGACTTCGAGCACCAACGCCCAGTGGAGCACCTAAACCTCCAGGTAATATAAAAGATTTCTTACTATGAATATAAATATACAGATAGAAAAAAAAATCGATTATCTTATTATATAAATTAGGACTTCATGATGATACAGACCAAACAGGTATTTTTTGCTTTTAACTTTCGGTCAATTGGTTAAAAAGGACTATAATTGAAGAAGGAAATATTAGAGTTGTTCAAAAAGAACTCCGTGAAAATTTCTAACGGAATATTCTACTATTTCCTTCTCAATATAATTTTTCATTTGTATCAATTCTTACATCTATATTAATGACATATAATCAATGGTGACGGTTCAATTTTGACTTCTTTTTTGATTAATATATATAAATAATGATTCCGTTGGTTTTAAGGTCTCACTCGAACAGCTCAATCATCTACTGATATTTCAACTGCAGGAGTAACAGAGAGAATATCACCACCTAAAGAAGATGTTAAACCAAAATCTTCAACATCGATGGTATAATGAAATATTTTGAATTTATTAAACCATTCTATTTATATGAAAAATATTATTTCAGCTACCACCACCACCTCCAGCACCATCTTCAGCTGAACTAACTAACACCCGACGAACATCGGTTAATGCAACATCTGACTCATCTGATTCTCAACAAGTGATTATAAGTCTTAAAAGTAAAATAACTGATCAAGAGGAACAAATTCAAACATTAATAAAAAAACGTCGTGATGATCTTGAAAAACTTAAAGAACTTGAACGTACAAAACTTCAACTTGATCAAGTAATTATATCCTATTTAATAATATTTCTTCATTAGTTTAATGAAATTTATTTTTTAGTTACAAACTTATAAACGCGAAGCACAAGAGCGTATGAAAGAATTAAATGATAAATTACAACAACAAGAAAATGAATTAAAAGATACTCGTGAAAAATTTGCTGCATATCGTGATGAAATGGCTGATACGGAAGTACGAATTGAATCACTTGCACTTGATCTTGAAATGGCTGAAGAAAAAGTATTGAATTCTTATTTTCTATATCACAATTATTTATTTGTTCTTTTTTTCTAGCTTGAAACTGTTACAGAGGAACACACAACAATGAAAGATAAACTTGAAGAAGTACAATTAGAATTAGATGTTATTAAAGGTGAAATACAATTAAATGGAAAGGATCAAGTAGCAAATGGTATACAACAAAAGATCGATGATGAACGAACCATTAAAATGGAACAAGCATTAATTAAGTAGATTGTTTACCCTTTGTATTTTACTTATTTATTATATGATTTTATTTAGATTACGTGATTTATCATTAACTAAACAATCAGAAAATGATACATTGAAAAAACAATGTGAAGCATTAGAACATAAAGTGAAAATATTAACAAAAGAAAATGAAAATGCTAAAACTGATATAACAACTATGCAAGCAACAATTGCTGATCTAAAAGAACAGGTTAAACAGATATTAGATTTTTGTTAGAAATATTATTTTGTTCGTTGAGTTTAAATTATTAAGAAGATAGGATTTATTTTGCTTGTTTATATTTCAAAAGTCAAGAATATAGTTCAAAGGATGAAGTATGTCATATGATTATTTTTTGGTCTAAACTTGACGGGCTTCTGGGACTTATTTTTTTGAAATTTATTTACTGGGATTTTATTAGTATCTATCAACTGTATCAAGATTTTCGCACACCCACACCTTATATGAAGAATAAAAAATATTTTAAGAATACAATACATATTCACATTCGAATAATATAAATCTAAAGATTTCGACATGTTACTGATGAAGGCTAATATATTTTCATTAGCGAGTTAATGTGCATAAATAATTAAGGGAATTTTTCTGTTTTTAGGTTGATACATGTCTTGGTGCTCAACAAATGGTGGATATATTAACAAATAAAAATCTTTCACTTGAAGATCAAGTACGAGAATTACAAGAAAGTGTTGATAATCTTGTAAGTTTATTTATTTTTATTCTTTACATATATATCTATGTATCTTAATTTAATAAGGAATCACTCTGTGAAATGGATAAAGGTAAATAAAACTAAATCAACTAATTTTTTTCATATGATCTACTTTTTTTTTCGAAATTAGAAATGGAAGAAAATGCTAAAGAAGTTGAAAATGAACTTCGTGAAACTATTGATTTATTACAAAATCAAATTCGAGAGGTTTGATATCTTCTATTTTTCATTTTCAATCTGAAAAATTTTCTTTTTTTTAGAAAGAACGACAAGCTGAACAATTACAATTTACTATTGGTGATCATGAACGAACAATATTAAAATTTCGTGAATCAGTTAAAAATATGCAAGTATGTTTATCTAATTAATCATTTCATACATAGAATGAAAAAAAGCAAAACATCTTCTTCTTTTTCTATAGTTTCAAAATGAACAAAGTAAAAAACAAATTGAAAAATATGATGAACAATTAAAACTTGCTGGTTCTGCACAATCAAGCGACTTTAAAGCTAAAATTGTTGAAGCTAAATCTTATAGTGAAGTAATTGAAAGTGAAATAAATAAACTTGAGGCAAATAATTTAACAAAACATGTTCATCTTTTAACATTATTTTTACCTGAACAATTTCTTAAACGTGGTGCTGATCATGATTGTATTCTTGCTCTTGTACTTATTCATCGTTTAATATCAAAATGTGATTTATTAATAAATGAAATACATAAAAAATTCGAAAGAATTGATGAATTAAACTTCGATGATGTTGCGAAATCACATCGTGCTGAACAATGGAGTTTTGCTTGTAAACTTTCGCAATCATTATCAATATTTCGTATGATTCTTAAAAAATTTGTTAAGTATGTTTAATTTTAATAACTTTGAAGGATTGAGAGAAATTTTAAAAGAGAATATACTTATATGAGGAGTGAGGGTGAAAGCCCAGTTCAGTTTTTCTAAGACTGACAGGGGCGTAGCGACTAGGAGGCGCATGGGATGCGACGCCCCCTGCTTTGGAAAATCTTTGTTTATCAATAAAATCAAAAACAAGGGTTTTTACGTGTTTTTTGGTGTTAGATTTTGGCAAAAAGGATATTGCGCCCCCCCCCCTGATTTTAGAACTTAAAGTACTGAAGTTTTGGAGACCTAGCTACGTCCCTGACGACTGTGCATGCGAATTGCTATGTCTAAATCAATATAGATAAATTAAGAGTAACGAACGATACTTAGCTTTTTAATCTTTTAATGTTCGTTATTAAAAAGAAGCGAAGAATTTCATGCTTTGTAAGATAAGATGGAGGCTTAAATTATTGTTCCGGAGAAATTCAATTTATTTTTTTTTAATAAATTTTAGAGCAATGGAAACATGTAATCCAGATAGTCTTCGTCATTTGGCTACAACTTATCATGATTTATTAACACATGAAAAATCTCTAGATTTTCTTATTGATCTATTACAAAAAGATCAATTACATGATTCTTTATCATTAAATGCATTAGATAAAACAATATCATTTTTTGAAGTATTTATCAAACTTTTTCAAAACAAATTGAATTAATTTCATTGTTTTTATTTTGAAGCATATCTATAAAAGTCATCTAAGCCAAGAGAAATTTCCAATGTCAACTTATATGAGAGATTTGGCATCGGTTGTATTATTAAGTAGTGATGCACTTCAAACTGATATTCGACGTATACAACTTGTACAAAAGGTAAGAAGATTAAAGAGATATTTTAAATAAGAATATCTATATTATTAACATAGGAATATGACGAGGTAAAATATTTTTTATAAGTTAGGTGAAAGATAGAAAAGTATTGACTACGATATTATTTATTTGCTTATTTTACATTTTTGATATTAGAAAAAAAAGGTGACCGAACAGAACGCCGCAGGCGAAAATGTGTGTGAGGATACATCGAATATCCACATCCCACGTACATACACTGTCCATGTGACGTTCTGTCCTAGCACCGAAAAAAAACTTTTTATTTAAACGACTTTTTTTATTTTTATATAATTTAGCCTGGTAGTGATCAAAGTCCATTTTCTATCCTTGTCAGACGTCTTATTGAAAGCAATGAACAAATGCGAGCTCAAGCCGGCAAAGTAATACATTAAGAAAAATCATTCATTTTTCTATTAAACATTTTGTTTTTGTGTATCTTACAGATAAATCGTCTTGTACCACAAGAAGATAATACAAATCGTTCATTAATGCTCGATTCAAATACAATCTCTTCAGTTGAATTATCTATTCGTAATTTAGATCGTTTAGCAAAAACATTTCATGAAATATGTTCAGGTTTAACAACGCAAATGCTTATGCTTTCTGGTAAATTATTCATTTCATATTCAACAAAATCTATCATTATTAAAATTTAGATGCTAATGAACGAATAAGTCCACAAGAGATTGAAAGTATTGCTTATCAAGCATGTGATAAAGTCTATAAAAAAGAAGATAGTGGTCCATATGAAAGTCTTCGGTATTTAACTAATCTTTTTTTTATAAAAATTTATTTATTTATAATTTTTTTTCTTCTAGAGATTCAATGAATGAGATTATTTCAACTTTAACAACCATAAGTAGTTCATTAGAAACAGGTGTATATGATTCAACATCAAATGAACAAAATTTAAAACAAACAGTATATTTAATTGCTGAACAACTTAAAACATCGATGAGTGAATCGGATTCAATTCGTGGTCGACTTGAATTAAAAGAAGAAGAATTACTAGATATTAAAAAAATGCTTAAATTAAAACATGATGAATTAAGTGAATTAAATATTCGTTTATCATTAAATGAGAAGAAAATTGAAAATTTACAAAAAGAATTAGAAGAAAAAGATAGTAAATATAAACAGACATTAGAAGAATCAAGAGTTGATGGACAAAAAAAGATCAAGTAAATTTAAAAATGAGTTATAAAATAAATACGACTGTTTTTTCTATAGACAATGTGAAGAAGCAATGGCAGTTTTACAAAATGATAATGAACAACTTGAACGAGAAAAAAGTGAATTAAAAGAACGATTGAAACAATTAACAAAAAATAAACTTGTCGATGATTTAATGCAAAATAAAATGGGTCGACCATCAAGAACATCTGGATTACTAAGTAAATAAAATAACTTTTACTTCAATTTTATTAATTAAAAATTAATTTTAGGTCCAACAGTTGATGAACGAACTTCTCCACAACGTCAATTATCATCAGCATCGACTACTAGTGAAGGAAATGTAACATCACCAGCTAGTGAACAAGAAGTATTTATTACCAAAATTTTCTTATTAAATAAAACTATGTCGATATTATAGGTAACCGCACTTCGTAATACTGTTCGTCATTTAAAGGATGAATTATGGCATATAAAAATGAGTCGAACATCAGCTGATTTAGCTAAACTTGAAACACCAATAACAGCTGCAAATACAAATGAAATAGCTGATATTTATAAAAGTTCAACATTACTTCTAAATGTACGTATTTCAAATTTCATCTAAGAATAATTTTTTTTCTCAACAAAAAGATGTTATACTAATTCGAGTTTATATTTTTTTAGGATCTTTTTTCATCAATTGCTAGTTATAAAATAACTGGTGACAATGTAGCTGCTAAACAAGAAATTATGCGTTCAAAAATGAAATTAGTTGATCAAACAGCATTTAATGTAAAATAAAATTTTCTTTCTTTTAATATATGTACATATTTTACTATTATTTTTAAGCTTAATAATCGTCTGAATCAATGTCAAAGTAATGTTCTTCCAGGCTCGACAATTCAAACATCAATGAAAACATTTTCTAATCCACAATTTTCAAAAGTTTGTATTTCATTAAAATGTTTTTATTTATTAGATAATCATTTTTTTGTCGTTCTAGTCTCTTGCTCAAGATCGACAATTAGCAGCTGAAATTTATTTACCAGGTGGTGGTAATGGCGGCGAATTCAATATAACTCAAGATCAATATCGTACAATAATGCGTGAAGCTATTGGTTGCAACTAAAAAAAATTTTTTTCCTTATTTTATCTCCTTAATAGATAGCTATGTTATTTGTTTTTTTTTATTATTATTATTATTTTGTCTTATACGGATGACGATAGTCTTTTCTCTTTTTGGTATTTTGTATTTTTTCGGCAAGGTGTATTTATATTATTAAACAAAAAATAAAAAATTTCATATTTGGTTTTATTTAGATTTCTTCTTCTTTTTCTTTCCTTTTTTCTTTGTTTTAGTCTTGGGTGGTTGAGTAAATTTGAGGAAAAATTCTAAAAAATAAAATACATATATAAAAGAGAAGATACGTTTTCGAATTACCATTATAATTAAATAAACCTTGGTCATTAATTTTAAGATTATCTTTGAATGCTTTTGCTTCGACTTCACTGAGTGGTTCACCGATATTTACTAAATATTTAAGCATTTCATCAGCGTCTAATAATCCACATTTGTCTGTATCGAATACTTGAAATGCTGGTAGAATTTCTCGATCAGTAACAGATGATGGAACACTTAAAAATGCAGTTACATATTCAGGAAATTTTAATTGATCTTTATCTTAAAAAGAAATAGTTATATAAATTTATTTTGCTTATCAAATGTTTTTCTTTTACTGTGTGGATCAATTTCTTTCATTATTCGTTGAATATCACTTTCAAGTGGATTACAACCAAGACCACGAAATATTTTACCAAGTAAACTAACTTTAATAATACCTGTACTTTGAGTATCATAAGTATCAAATACTTCTTTCATTCCTATAAAAGAAAATCAATATTTTACTTCTATTTACAAGATAGATTTTAGACTAGTAATAGAAATTTGTAATTATGAATGATTTTATTCGTACGAATAAACAACAAGAACAATAAAAGATAACTACTATGTCATTACTATAGTCAGAGAAATAAAACATGAGTCATGTTACTTAGATTCTATTAAACAAAAAACATCTCTACTATTCCCTATTTGATCAAATTGAATAATAAAATATTTACCTTTTAATTCTTCTGATGTTAGTACACCATTCTATATAAAAATAAGAATAAGGTAAATTTCAAATCTTTTAGTTTTACTTCTTACATATTCAGTAATAAGTGTCCTCATCATTTCAGCTTCCGCTTTTTTTTGTCTATCCGTTTTCGCCGGCTTCTTCGGTGCATGTTCTTTATCTTTTTTTGATGGCTAAAAATATATAAAGAAAATAATTAATTACATTCAATCTTTTTAATTTTTACCATATTAAATTGTCTGTTGTATTACACTGATGAAATCAACATAAAGTAAGAGTTCGTTTTTTTGTTATGTAGATGTTGATTTTTTGATAAGAAAACGACGAAAAATATGAAGTCAATTGATGATAGTATGAATAATTCTTTGTGTATAGATGATGAATATATATATATATATAAGAATGCTCTATATAATTATAAAACTGTTGCTTTAACAACGAGAAAAAGTTTTTTTTTATTCGTAAATGAAACCATAATTTTTTTTCTATCGAATTTGATGTACATATATATTCCAAAGAGTGATTAACATGTAGCAGTGATTGGGTAGAATTCAAGTTTGATTACTTTTGACGTTGATAATATATGACATCGATGAAAAATTTCATTTTCTTTTTCTTTATTGTATTTTTCAAGGTGAGTTAAGTAAATGAGATTATACTGCAAAGTATTCAATAGTACATTTTTATATTTATTGAATAGAAAAAGAACCAGTTGCTACAGAGAAGTTAGTCATGTGAATATATTTAGAGATGTACCGAGTCCGAATTTCTCAGTCGGTCGCATTGTCTGTGTCAGTCCTAATAACTTGACCTTAATGTTAGTTTTAGAACAGTTGTTTTTTTAACCTCTAACCAATCGTGAACCCATAGAGTGATTGTTTTGTTGTAAGATAAACAAAAATTGTTATTAATCCCATACTACAAATATTATCATATGATATAGAAAATTCGATCAAATCAACAGTTCAATTTCACTGAATGCAATTGATAAACTAACAATAGAATTATTATTAGATAAATATTGTAAAAAGAAGATGTCAGATTCTTCGATATTTATTTTAGCTATTGAATTTAATTGAATACGTAAAATAGGAAAATCATAGAAACTTTTTTTCTAATATTAAAGATATTTTTCGTGTGTTATAAATAAATGTTGAAAAAAATTACAATTACATTCTACGTTATTTAAGTTTAGTACTGATTTGTTTAGAATCACAGATGAAGTTTCTGTTGCTTTGATAGTAGAAGTAAGAATATCCAAAAGTTTCACCATATAAAAGAATAAAGTATATATCACTATCTAATCTTATATTTATTTTACTTAACAATATAAAATATGCAGAATTTTGTAATATAATATTTATTGTTATTTTATAAAACACCAAATTTTCTAAAGTCTAATGATTGGATATTCTAGTGATACATATCCACGTAAGGAAGATAAAGCATTACTAGCTTTAGATGATAGTCTCTCAACTATAGATGAAACTGATAATTCTTGGGGATGATCTTCGACTACTTCCGATGAAATATTACTTTGAACATCTGAATCTTCAGGATAATATACTCCACCCGATGATACATCTATAACTGTACCATTAGATTGAGATGACACACCAAAAGAACGTGGATCAGAATTGTTTCCACTACTATGACCTTGTCTATGATTTTGTCGTTGGCGACTATTATATGGACTATTACTAGACATCATAGCTTGTTGAGTTGATATACCAGAATTACTTGATAAGTCCAATTGAGTAGTATGTATATTTGGTTGATCACCAAATTCTATTGTATACGGTTTAATTTCGTTTTCTGGCACGTTGCTTTGTGTATTTTCTGACTTTTCGCGACATAAAAACCAAGCTAGAAGCCAACGCCAATTATATGGCTGTGCGTCAGGATTTTTTTTCATTCTATAACTAAGTGCATATTTAATAATAACTCCTATTGTCAGTACACCAATAACTCCAGCAAGTACATAAACAATAATAAGTAAAGGCTTAGAATCGCCTGAAGGACAAGCATCGAATAAGAAATAATCATAAGATAGCATATAATTTGTTGTAGAATTAATTAATCCATATGTAGATGATTCTGAATAGAATATATTAATAATCGATGTATTTGGTTGATTACTAAAAAGAGTACAATATTTTTCAGAACATCGATCAGTACATTCGTTGGAAATAAGAGTTTTTGGTGAAGAATCTAATAAAATAATATCATAACATTTTGTCGTACTTTGTTTTACGATATAATTTTGTATCGAATAATTGGTTAGCATATTAAATTGAGTAGGAACTAGTTGTATACATTTCATAGTTGATATAGATTGAAATCCAAATGGAATATCAATACAATTTTGAACAGTAAAATTGGCACATGTTTTTACATATGGAACAAATAATAAAATAAAAAAACAACGATATACGTACGACATGGTTACAATGAAATATCTATTTAGGTTTTAATAAACGTCTACCTGAAAGCGTCTATAGCGTATGCATGACTGCTCTGTTCTTCCTAGATTTGTTTTTCTCTTTTAAAATCACGAAAATAGGTACAGGTAAATAACGATTTTTGATACTATCAAATCGTCATGCTACATGTTTTTAATGATTAAAAAACCTAGTTTGTTTAACTATATTTTTCTATACAAACTATTAAGAATATATAGATTTAAATAATCGATATATATGTATTGCATAATAATCTATTATTTTCGACACTAAAGTTTTTATTCAATTAAATAAAAGTCTATTTAGATATACACTTAAAATACTTAATAATTTATTCAGAATGTTTTCATTACATGCATACTTTAATATTCACTATTTTTGACTTTTATGAAGAAGAGAACGGAAAAAAATTGTTTTGGTAAACTTTGATGTGTGTATTGATAATTATGAAGACAAAACACTCTTTCTAATAGAACAATTAGGAATGTACCGAAACCGACAAGTTCGGTCGTCTCGGTCCTGATTTTAGTCTCTCAACAATTTTCTTGCAGCAAATTCCATATCTTTTTGTATGATATTTTTTTGATTCCTAATTTGTTCTAAATCTGTATAGCTATTTCTACCTTATTAATATCAGCCTTGACTGAGGAAGCGGTGAAGATCAATACTGAGTTTAAATGAGAATGAGTAAAAATATGAATAAGACCGAGATCGAGAACTACTAGACTCTAAATTGATAGAGCTTCCATCCGATTGACTCTGTCTAAGCATACATCAGATAAGGTATTTTGAAGAAAGATCATATCAATACTGAGAATATATTCAAATTAAATCTAAGAACTAATCTAATACAATAATTAACCGACAAAAGCATATCAATAAGTACAATGAAGTAACATCATTTATTCAAAATTATTGATTTTAAAAAAAAGTATATAAACTGTATCATTATAAAAACATATATTTTAATAAAATAAAATAAAAGCAAATTTCAAAGTTATTTTATTATTTGAGAGTAGCATATTGCATGAGTTTTTGTTGAATAGGTGGTTTAAATTTAATTTGAAGAAATTTGAGTATACAAAGCGGTAAACATGAAATTAATGTTATAACAGTAACACCCCAGATAAAATCCCATGATCGAAGAAATTCCGTATCAAATTGAGATTTAAGTATAATCAATGATAGAATATAACATGCAAAACTCAATATTTCACCGACAACCATCAATGGATGCCATGTATGAATCTAATTTGAATAAAGATTTATATAACTATTTTTATAAAGGAAACGTATACATACTCTTAGAGCAACCATGAATAATTCTGTAAGAATTAATGCTGTAAATGTAATTGAAACAACATGAATAAAATCATCATCAAATATAATTAAGGCACCATACATAATTGCAGCAGCTTGATATGTAGATATAAGAACCCAAAGAAAAAATGTTTTTAATGATAAACTTCTTCCTTTAGATAATTCTTTATATAATTCTGGATAAAGTAAGGCAATTTCTGGACGTACATCTTGATCTAAAACAAGTGAAAAAACAGGAAACATTGTATAAATAGTACCATAACCAACAAGTAAAAATCCTTGATAAAGTGATATAGATGCAAAATAAAATATTGTAGAAAATATAGCTTGCATAACACTTATAATTAAACCACGATGCATAACAAATTGTGATAAAGATGCTGAACGTTTATAACTATTACGACCATGAACAAGTAATAAACGAGATAAATATTGAAATTGATTAATTGAAAAATCAGCTGCTAATGATGCTTGTTTACCTTCTTTTCCAACAATTCCAATACCAACATGTGCACTTTGAATCATACTAACATCATTTCCTCCATCACCAATTGCACAAACTCGAACTCTATGATTTCCGTATTTTTTTAATAATTCAACAACATTTGCTTTTTGTGTTGGTGAACATCGACAAACAACAACAGCAGGACAATTAATTGCGATATCCATCAGTTCTTTTTCATAAAATGATAAACATATTTGTAATGTATCACCTGATATTATTAAACAAGCATCATTTTTTCGTTTAAACATATTTATTTCTTGTAAACAAGTTTCTCGTGTTGCTATCTGTTTAAATGTATATATGTCGTAATCACGTCCAATTAATTTCGAACTTTTAGCAATACATGTAGCTGTTTCAAGTTTATCACCAGTTAACATCCAAATTTTAATACCAGCATTACGTAA